ATGCCTGCATGCCAGAAGAGGGCGCCAGATCTCATTACAGATGGTGGGAGCCACCCTGTGGTTGCTGGGAATTGAACTCAGGACCTCTGCAAGAACAGCCAGTGCTCTTAACTGCTGAGCCATCTCTCCAGCCCTGGTTTGGTTTTTCAAGGCAGGGTTTCTTTGTATATAGCCTTGACTGTCCTAGCACTCTCTCTGTAGACCTGGCTGGCCTTGAACTCAGATATCCACCATACTAGGCAAACATTATATTATTATTAGTAGTAACAGTAGTAATAGTAATACTACTACTGAAACAGGAACTCACTATGTAACTGGCCTGGAATTTCCTCTGTAGACCAGGCTTCAAACTTGTAGAGGCCAGCCTTTCTTTCCCTCCCAAGTGCTGGGATTAAAGGCACACACCACTGACATAGGCAAGCATTCTACCAACTGAGCTACATTACAGCTTTTACATTTTAAAATTATTTCTGTGTGTGTGTGTGTGTGTGTGTGTGTGTGTGTGTGTGTGTGTGTGAATACAGGTGCATGCGTGCCACACCACTTAGGCATTTATTTGTTAGCCTTGTGATATTGGAACAAACTCAGTCTGGCCTGCTTACAAGCGCCTCTACATGCTTAGCCATCTCATAAGCTTTTAAGTTTTACATTTTTAAAGGATTTAAAACAGGATGCTGCCGAGCAGCCATAGGGCACGCCTTTAATCCCACCACTCAGGAGGCAGAGGCAGGGGTGGATCTCTGTGAGTTCGAGGCCAGCCTGGTCTACAGAGTGAGATCCTGGACAGGCACCAAAAACTACACAGAAACCCTGTCTCAAAAAACAAAAACAACCCCCCCCCAAAAAAAACCAGGATACCACAAGAGTTTCCTGAAGTGACTGTAAAAAAAAAAAAGGAAAAAGAAAGAAAGAGGAGAAAAGGGACTTGTGGCTATAGCTTCATTGATAGAATGTTTACCTGTAATCCTCTTTTGGGTGGGGTGGAGGCAGGAGGATTAAAACTACAATGTCATCATTGATAACATGGTTGGAAGTCAGCCTGGGCTGTGAGATGCAGCCGCCTGACGAGGGGGTGGGAGAGTCTAAAAGAACATCAATAAAAGTAGGCCGGGGGGTGGTGGCGCACGCCTTTAATCCCAGCACTCGGGAGGCAGAGCCAGGTGGATCTCTGTGAGTTCGAGGCTAGCCTGGGCTACAAAGCAAGTTCCAGGAA